TGATGATGATGGATTATCTCATCGTATCGATGAATGCTTGTTTCTATATTTCCAGCTTAATGTTTGTGCCTGCGATGGCTTAACAGTCCAATGCGTGAGGCRCAGATGCGCCCACAGTTATCACAGGMAAATTGATTCGATGACGGCTGCTGGTTTGCAGCATGGCGGCGACAACGCAGCTCCAATAGTCTTGAGGTTCGAGTTGCCTCAAAGATCTTTTGCACATTTTAACTGGCTAGCTGTGGTTTTATTGAACCCGCGAATGGATAAGCTTCAAAACATGTAACCTAAGCTAATTACACCAAAACGTTGACAGGTACGTTTTGGCATTCCAAAAGCCAATAGGAGGATTTGGGTATTCTAAAAGTTGAATCATTGCCAGCCTAAACATGTGTACCCGTCCCCGTTTACACATACTCAAACTACATACGTCTGACCCCCCTCCCCATTTGGCACACACACATCAACCACAACCATGTCTATGTCCCTACCTGCCGCAACTCCCTCCCAAACAACCCTTACAGTACCCCCATACTATCAAATACACTCCCTCCCCTCCATGAGCGTTTGAACGATACCTTTTTAAATCTGTAGACACTTTTTCCCCCACGTCTTCCACTGCATGCATTCCAATTCCACATACCATTGTCTCAACACATTCGTATCCCGCCACCTCTCTACAAAACTATCCCTTTCACAAAAGTGTGTTGCTTACACGCTTTCTAAGCTACTCCTCTCACACACCCCTTATATATCCATCACGTGATTGGCTCCACAGGAAGCCCACCATAACAAGACACCCTTGGTGTCACCTGATATGTTCCCCACAGACACTACAATATCCGGGTRCTCCCCATTCCTCACATAGTTTTTAACCAGCACAAAATTAGTATGGAAGGATCTACAAAAACCTATTAGAAACCCATCATATCTCTCCCCTATASCTATCTCTCGCCTCTTTTATTAACCTTTAACCTACTACTATCTTTAGTTTCAAAACCCGCCGCGTTTTAATCTCACGTCGAGCCAATGCATCGTGTAGGGCTGAGCAATTTTAAGACCGTCTTAATTGCACTGAAACAAGTTCACTCTGTCTACCGTCTCAGCCCCTGATGATGTACGGTAGCCAGTGCATTTGGCCTCCCTTGCCTTCCCCAGTTTACCATTATCCGTTCCYTCCTCCCCTATACGAGATCACCAMGCGACATTTTATCGAGCTCGTCCCACGTACGTTACGTAAATTTCGCTTTTTTACCRTTTTTAYCCGTTTTATTATTTCTTCTATTTTATTATTATTTTCTTTCTCTTATTCGTCTATTTCTTAGGTATATCATTTATTTTGTATTTCTATCTCTTATTTAAATATTCTAATCTCTCCAACAATTTCTCTATTCTATTTTTATCTAATCATTCCTCCCTCACCCGTCCCCCTAATATTAYATACCATCACTCACACAGACAAAATATCACTCACTCAAAAATATGACATTAACCCGAAGTCATTTCTATCCTGTGGAATAWAGCGCTACAGCATATCATGTACTACATATTATTTGCCTTTTACCATATTCATTCAAAGGCGCGGCCTTCCTTATACTTCCTTAAAACGCAGGTATAAGGATTACCTAATCTATAACAACCAATAATCAGTACACATTCAAATAAGTATTGACTATRCATGTTTGCAAGAAACAATTATCTAATTCGGCATAATATAATTAATATAATTAGTTCTCTTGATATTTAAAAAAACGTTATTTAATATATAATATTCCTTTCTCTCAGCTTTCTTTTCCCTCTAATTCCCTTTTCCTTATTTCCTTACTCAGTTACCTTTTATTTTTTGGACCCATAATTGACAATTACAGCAACCAACTCGAAACTATTTTAGCTCCTTTGGTTGCCGTACACTAATTCAAATTATAGCCTGTGTACATCCGTTTCTCACCCCTCAAAAAATCGGGGAGATTTTTTGAGGGGGGATAAACGGATGTACACAGGCTATTCAAATTAATGATGTATTATAAATTACATTAGAAATATCCAATAAAATAAAATAATCATGAATGTAAATAAAGATCAGAAAAGTGTGAATAAACTAAAATTGAATTGAATTGAATTGAATACACAGGCACTGCGGAGCATAATTTTTATTGGACCTCTCCTCCCCCCACCCCACCACCACAACCCTCCCCCCACCACCACCACCACCCGGCTCAGCTGTGCATGATACTTCTATAGTTCTAAGCTTCGACATTCATTTTAGTGTACACGACAATAAAGAAAACAAGCAGACCCTTCAAACAAACGTCATTTTATTYTTAGATATTATTTTATACTTTTACTACTTTATTGTCATATTTTCCACTTTTTCCGCAAGCGGTTCGCAGTTCTGKGGTGSAGGAGTTGTTTCGTCTAGCTTCTTCTTTGCTTCTTGTAATTTCTCCTCAGCATACCCCAGTGCATTTTGTAATATTCTTCGTTCGGTTATACGAAGTAACAAACAATTTTTAGCATTTGTAGTGAGTTCTTTCGATTGTAGAAGTACGTCATCTTCCTATGATATGACAAGATACAAGTTAAAAACGTACATTTCCCCTTTGTCAGATAGTTATACAGCCCCGAGGGCTATGAAGAACACCAATAAATAAACTGTACTTTAGTCGACAACTGTCTTGAATTAGCTACAATGGTAAAGTCGTGCTAGAGAGCAAACACAGTTCTTGGGAAAGTCATAAGAGCATGAGGCAGAGCCATTTGTTTATTAGATTTCATGACCTTTTACTAACCACTTTAGTCGACAACTGTCTTGAATTAGCTACAATGGTAAAGTCGTGCTAGAGAGCAAACACAGTTCTTGGGAAAGTCATAAGAGCATGAGGCAGAGCCATTTGTTTATTAGATTTCRGGAGGATCCAACGGGGTCTGTTCTTCTAAATAACTATTCTTGCACGATTTTTTCCCTGAGAAAGGGATTTTGATATTGTTGACAATCACACAAGAAAATGTGACGTCCTTCCTTCTTTAAAATAATTTTGTTCCTGGCACAAAAACGTTCTTAAGGTCAAAAAAGGCTTATACAACGTTTTTATGGTCAAAAACAACTTATATTTTTTTAGTTAGGAAATTTTTATTTTCTTGGCAAGAATTCTTAGAAGTATTCCTTGCCTGGAGAGTTCTTTTTCCCTGAATTTCGCGCTGGCAACCAGTTGTGACTTACAGCTGGATGGGACATAAGAACAGATATATTGCTCCGAGAAATCTGTCGGCTTTTCGCGGTCGAGCATGACAGCGTTAGCCAATTACTGCGGACCCAAAGGCACAGATGTGAGAGCGATTTACAACACCTGGAACTTCGTGCCCAACTCTGAGTCAAACAGTGTGGGGTTTTTTTAAGTCCCTCGGTTTTGATGAGATAAACGACCTCCATCGAAACGTACTTTTCCAAGAAGACGAGTCTGAGAGTTTCTTGCAAGTTAAGGACAAGACGTGGAGGGTCGGTTTGGGAATCGAACTCAGGGCTATAGAATGATTCGAAGTTCGATGCCATTGGACATCTGACCTCTCTATAACTTCATGTCCTGTCCTAACAATTACTCTATACTACACAAGCTAGTTAAGGCACTCTCCTACTACCAACTGTTCACATCTCCCATCCTTGCGTTGGTACTTGTCCGGTAGCGTAATTCTGTATGTTTTTTTTTTTGTATGTCTATATATGTAATATGCATGACTAAAGTAAAAACCAACCTGTATAGTCGTCTTGTATTGGGCGAGTATCAGGCCTAGTCTCATATGCAAATAATTCCACAGACGAATTTCGTTCTGGTTGCTAACAACTGATTCGGGTTTCGGTAACTTTGACAGGGGGAGGACTTGCTTTCTCTCGGGATTAAAAAGTCGTATTTTTAACTCATCTAAAACATCGATAGATCTAAATTAGCTATAATTAGACGTGCAAAGGATTCTAGAGTTGCGCAAAGGATTCTTGAGGGTTGGGCAATGGGCATCATTGTCAAGATTCTGGTCAGAACTTATTTCTCAATTCTAGCTGGCAGCAAAAAAAAAATGGCTATAATGAGGTTGGACCTTTATAATTATGTGTACTGTTAAGGATGATAATTACC